ATGCCCGGCGGCGCTCTTCACCCGCCCCCGGCCTAGCGGCTCGTCGCGTGCTAGCTGCGCGCATGCGTACCACTCGATCCGGAGCCCGGGCGGAAGAGGAAGGAGAGACGCATACGTGCCCTCACCCGCTCCTTAAAGGGGCAGGCGTTCCAGCCCTCCGCCTCGCGGGCCTCGATTGGGGCTGCCCCGCTTGGGGCTGGGAGCAGGGGGGCTTCAAAGCCGTGAAGACTCCTGCCGGGCACCTGCTCTGCCCACCCACCCCTGTGTCCCTCCGGCGGCGGGTTGCTGGGCTAACAGCGCCCGCCCTCGCGGGCTGCGAGGCGCCCGTTGGGGCGAGGGAGCCCGAGATAGGGCTGGGTCAGAGGTGCTGCCGTGAGGCGCGCTTCACGCCTCTTTCATATAGGGCTGTGGCTGGGCTGCTGGCACTGTTTGAAGGTTCTTATCAAATCCCAAGCCCCCACCTGCATGCGCATTAATGACCTGGTTTTGTGTATAAACAAACCCACAACAACCTGTCTCCTGTCCTGTGGCGCCAAGGCCCTGTGGTATCTGCGGCCTGGCGGGTGGTGGGGCTGAATGGAGGGACCGCTGGTGCCTTCCGCGCTCCTGCGCACACGCGGCATCTGCTTCATTACCCGTCCCCGCTCGGCCTGCCACATCTGATTTATCCCTCCGACCTTCGGCCTCGGCCTGCTTGGATTGCAATGCACAGCACTGCAGATCCTGGGCGGGCCGCACGCGTTTCTGCCGGGAGGTTCTCAAGCCAGGTGAGGAGTCAAAAGGAGCCTGAGGGGGCTGTGGCCCCCACACAAGCACCACACCGTGGGCAGAGCCACCCGTCACGGCCACATCTCTTGGCCCTGCGGCCGCCACCTTCACGTGGCTGTTACACTCGGCTCCTCTCCTTCCCCAGATTGCTTTGACCCAGCAGCTCGTGCTCCAGGAGCTGTTTCTTGCTGTCTGTCAAAACCGAGATCTCCTCCGTTGCCCCCTCGCTTGGCGCCGTGAGTTTTTCCTTTGCAGGAACACAAAACTGTGAATTCCCAGTGACTCATCATCACTCCCTGTCAGAGCGGCGTCTTCTGCTGTGCAAGCCTACATTTGGGAAGTGATTCAGTCTGCAGGAGAAAGCAAGCTCCTACAGTAATGTAGCTCATGTATGTAGAAGGAGAGCCTACTCGGGGTGTCTGCTTTTAAGGGGGGCAATCAAAGAAACTGCTTTCCGGCTTGCCTAGCGCACCCAAAGCCATGAGAATAATAAAAAGTTTGATTTTAAAACCAGACTGTGCACAGATCTTTTTTTAATAGCTAACTGTTTTGGCAAAAAATGAGATTAAGAGGTCCAGGTTAGGACACTGCTATATTGGTAGGAAGTTGTTCATATAAAGATAGAGGACTCCTCTAAACGGAACAGCATCCACACGGTGATAGAGGCTTTCGTTGCACTCACCATGTTGCTTTCTAGCTTGGTAAAGGCACTGTGGTACAGACACTTTCTGTCTGCACAAGTGCAAGAAAGCCCTGGCTTGTGTCCATCTGGCTGTTAGGCAGTGAGGGAAGTCTGTGATTTGCCTGTGTTTCTTCCTCTGGTGGACTCCATCAGCTACAGGGTGACTCCATAGTGAGAGACCAGGAGGAATGGAGAGGGAAGATTGGCAGCCGGCAATGCCCTGAGCTGCAAATATCAGCTCCAAGTTCCTCTTGTGTTTCAGGGAGCTTAGATACAAGGTTTTATACCAGTCTCCCTGCATCTCTAATAAAAATAAAATGCAAAGGATTCAAAATCAGCCCGGACTGTGCCAGATGCACCAGAATGAAAACGATGCTCCGAGAGCAAGCTAGCCTCCAACTCATTCCCACCTCGGTTCTGTCAAGGAGCATTTGCGCAAGCGAGAATATCTGCACTCTTGTCACTCAAAGAGAATGTGGATCTTGTGCGGAGGAGCTCAGATGCATCGCACACTAGTTAAGGGGGCTGGAGTTTCAAGGGCAAATGAGGTATCTTTGAACATCACACTCATTTCTAAATGCAGAGCCCCTGCGTCCTCAGTTGCCCTCACATTGCTGTTCATGGTGATTTGCAGGCAGCTTAGGACTGGTGTGCACTTAGCGGCCTTTGGGGTTTGGTTGTTTTTAATGGTTGCTCTGGATGGGATTTGAGCAGTTTGGAGGCGTTTGGCTTGAGTCACGTATCCTTGGATGAGCTGGAAAAACAGGTCTGCAGCTCCTGGCCAGTAAATAGACCATGCATGGGTATGCAGGAGAGCAGGATGTCCTGGGCTATGCAATGCTGCCACCTCCTGCCTGCCAGGGGACATCTCTGTGTCCAGGGGACACTGCCAGTGCCTTGGGCCAGGGAACATTACACAGGACAAGGACTGGCAGAGCCGAGCCTGGTGCAAACGCACCCAGGCTCTTCCCCAGGCACGCATCTTCCCCAGAATGCCTGCAGCCTAGTTGGGTGTTGTGCAAAAAGGATGACCAGCAATCAGCGTTCGGTATTTTTCTGTCTTGGTTATTTTTAACATGCATTCACTAATGCGTCCTGCAGGAGGGATGGGGATGGGAGGATTCAAAGAAGGATCAGTCTAGGTAATGTGGGGAGGGCTGCAGAACAGGCTGCGGGACAGCAGGCTCAGCCAGCATAAACCAGGCTAAAACCAGGACACAGAAGAGTAGACAGACCTACTGGCACGGCTGCAGCTCCATCACCCCTGGCCAGGAGCAGTGAGGATACCTGTGAACACCCTCCTGCACTGGAACCAGGAGCGTGGGGAAAACCTCCACCACCTCTCCAGCTATGGCTGTCCCATGAAGGAAGAGCTGGAGAGCCCCACACGCCAGCATCCCACCGTGTGTCACGCCGAGATGTCCTCAACCTGTTTCCCATTTCCTCACTCCTGTGGTTGCAGACCACAGCTGTTTGTGGGCTGGGGACACCACGTTGCATCCTACCTTTCAGATTTACCTCTCAGCCACTCTGGGGCTCTGTTTATGTCTCCACAGTAGCAAGTAGAGCTTTGTTGAGTTTCAGAGAAGAGGGAAGGTGCATGTGCATTTCTGGGTAGGCAGAATTTAACCCAGTTAATGAACAGCACTATTCAGAGCATGAGATTGGAGAAGACTCATAGCCTGATGGATCCTAGAGGTCCAGAAGCTGGTCAGATCTGGAGGTGGGTCTCACCCAGTGTGTTGTCCCCTTGTGTGTCAGGATGAAGTCCACCTGTGCAAGAGCTTTTGCTGGTTTTTATTTTGGCCAATGGATCTGTTCTGTCTTCACACCATGGTGCAGGAAGATTCCCCTCCTAGCCCCTTTTGGAAAACCACGCCCTATGGCACCATGTTTGGGGTTTGCCTTGCTGAGCAATGAAGATACTGACAGTCTGAAAGCAGTCCTGGCCTTCTAAAAATCCTACCACAGCCTCTGTCTCGGGGTTTGTGTCCTGAGTCTTTAGGAAAGCACAGAAGTTGGTGAAGACAAACACGAACACTACCAAGATCTGCACAAACATAAAACCCACAGAGATACTGATTGGATTTAAAATTATATCAATTAAAAACACTGTAAATGTAAGTTGGGAGGGAAATTTTAGGCTGTGGTTTCACAGCGGCTGGCCTGCTCTAAGGGCTCGCTGCTGCTCATACAGGGTGGTCTCACTCCTGCGTCCTTCTCCCCTCCTACTTGTCCTGCTCCCAGTGCCTGTCTCTGGTGGCTCATCAGACCCTTGGTGGTCAGTTCAGCTCTCCAAGCCTACAGAAAATTGTCCAAATGTTTTTCCTTGGTGTTTTCTCTGGTTTAATGTTCTGCCAGACTAGTGACTCAAATGGCTCAAGGAGTTCCAGGGGACAGTGCAAGGGTTGTCCCCTGTTGGCAGTGACATGCTGTCAGCCAAAACACCAGACAGGAGTGATCAGATGGGAAAACTGAAGAAACATACCCTGCTGCCTGGAGAGGTACTCTGCAGACACACAGAACACGAGATCATTGAATTCACTGCTAACGGGGAGAACGCTAGCCTCAGCACCACCACCAAAGAAGATAGGGTGAACTGGACAGCTAGAGCATCCGCAAGCTGTTCTTTAGCTCATGTTCATTATTATTTTCCACATCATTCAGGGACATTGAGATGACGAAAACACATTTATAGCTGCATCACTTGATAAAGCGAAAGGAATAAATCCCCTCTCTTCTCTTTCCAGAAGATAGGCCAGGAGTCCTGCTGCCTAACCAAGCCTCCAGTGTGACCAGTTCCTCCTTGATCCCAGCATTGCTCATCCTTTATTTGTGCCTGCTTTGCAAATGAGCCTCTCTTAATTTGATCCCAGCAAAGGAGAGGAGTGTTTTCAGTGTAATAAACCAGCTGTTTGATGCAGCACTGATGGAGCAGCATCCTCTTTGCATGCTTGTAACCGTGTCAGCAAATATGTGCTTCTGTGAAGTTGTAGCAGGAGGGAACTGCTCATCCTCCTGGGCAGCAGGGGTATTCCTGGGCTCCTGGGGAGGGAGGAACACTGAAATGACAAGCTAAGCGAAGTCATGATTGAAAAAGTCAAAGGCCATGCAGTGCCTCTGCTCAGGAGCGGCCAGCTCACGTTCAGGTCAAGTTACAATTTCAGAGCCTCTCCGGAGTGGAGCTGCCATCTTCCAGGGCTTTCCTCCAGCTGCTGTGGGTAGGACCTAGGAGCACCAGGAATGCACACCCTGAGTGCTTCTGCAGTATGACTGCAAAGGGCAAAGATGCATGCCACAGCCGAGCTGAGCTGACAGATCCCACCCCCTGCCCAGCGGCAGGGTCCTGCTTGCTCCTGGCCAGCTGCTCCAGCAGTCCGTCCCCTCACCAAGCCAATGCACCTCCTAATCTGGAAGGAGATGACTCCCTTGTTTTGCCAGGCTAGTCTGCTGTTGGTTTAGGGAATCAAATTGTCTCAAGGTAAGGCCCACCAAAGCTGGAGTGGGTGTAAACAAAAGAGTGGGATCAGCAGAAGCCCAAGATCTTCAGAAATAAAACCACTATCTTCTGTCTTTTTACTCGTCCCTCCAGCCACCTAGCGTCAGGCCCTCTCCAGAGGGGCACGTTCACCCTGTGTACCCTGTGTAGCCAAGAAAAAGCGCAGTCCATATCTTCAACCCGAGGTCCCATCCGCTCTCTGAAGTGTTTACAGTATCAGGGAGACAGAGAACTCGAAGCTGGTTTGCCCCCAATTTTCCCTGTAAGGGGGCAAACCCTGGGTGCAGATGAACAAACTGGGACACCACCAATGGGTTTCTCTCAGTCCTGGGCAGCCAAAGCCATCTCAGTATTTCTTCACTCTTTGGCAAGGAGGGGCAAGTGAGCTTCTGGCACGGCTGAGGGATTTGTGTTTTAAATTAGATCTGGGTTGCAGATTTGTAGACGCAGTGAGTTGCTTCTCTGGGGACACCCATTTGCTCTAGCATCTCCTCGTGCTCCCCCTGCTCACACCTTTACACCAGCAGCGTGCCCTTCATGCAGGGATCTTTGCCCTCCCTCCTGAGCCCCAGGGCTTTGGCTTTGCTGGTTCTCCATCTAGCTATTTTTGGCAGACCTTATGGCATTTGAGAAAATGGCTGGAGAGAAGCAGCTTGTGCCACTAGGAACAAACCAGGCTTGTGCTGGAACCCCATGTGAGGTAGCTCACCTTCGGACGGTCTTGCCTGTGTGCCCAAGGACACCTCATGGGGTGGCTTTGCCACCTATCTGGCCCAACCCTGCTCCCCCACAGGGAGTGATGTGGGGCTCACCAGGGCATTCCAGTGGGGTGGGTGGGATCCGGTTCCTCTGCATTCCTGGGGCAGTGTTCTGCCTGACACCCACACACACAAAGGGCACCCACAGGCACCAAAGAGGTGCTGCTGGCCACCCCTGCCAGGGCCATTTGTCCCTGCCCTCCCACCGCTCCCTCCCCTGCGCTGGCAGGGCCAGGCACGGGGCTGAGGGGAGCCAACCCAGGGAACTGGTCCAGGTTGAAAATAACTCTGTTTTTCTGGAGCAGTCTGACACTGGCTGCATTTGCCAGGCTGGCTCTCAGCACAAAGCTTCAATGCCAGTGCTGGCACAAGGCAAGAGGCACCATTATTTTTGGCAAGGGTGCCTGCTTTAAATGTTCACACATAACCCTCAGAAAGTTGTCATCCCTTGTAGTCCAGGGTTACAGCCAGCACAGGCGATGCCTTATTTTATCAGAAAAGATAAAAGCAGCTGTGCTGTGTCTGACCTGGAGCCTGGGATTTCGTCTCCAGCACTGCTGCAGGAGAAGGGCAGCAGAGACAGGCAAGGCTGGGGCGACCCTTCCCCACTTATGCCAGACCCTTGCATTTGACTGCATCGTGTCTCCAGACAGACCCCATCATCCGCAGACGCAACAGCATGAACGTAGCACCGTACCTTGCTCATCCTCTGGCAGGGAAGGGACACAGGGGACCCTGGAGCTGGGGCATGGCTCTGGCCGGCTGGGCAGAGCCCGGAGCAGGGCTGGGACAGTGGGACAAATCGCCCTCTTGCAGCGCTTGGTTTGAACCACAGGTATCTGGGTCTGGGAAGAAGGTGCCCATGAGCTAACAGCGCCATTTCCAGGCCTTGCAAGAAGTTAGAGGGGAATTCTGTGGCCTGGGACATTCTTGGCTGTTTGGAGAGACTTTCAGTACTGCAGGAAAAGGGGGGATTTTCAAGTAATTTTGATGATTCGTAAGGAAATGCCATTAGTGCACAGCTGAAGCTCTACCAATGAACTTGTTCCCTGGAAGACTCTTCCCTGCAGAGTTTGAACATATTGGTGCCAAGCAGCAGCGTCTGCAGGCTGCTTGCATTGCCCTGGCTCTACTGCAGAGCTCAAACTAGGCACCCAGGAAAAAACATCAAGAGATGCGAGATCCCTAAAAGTTTCTTTCTTGATGGAGTTCATCTGGTTTCCTTTGGGATACTTTCTTTTACCTTGTCTTAACTCTCTGAAAGGCCACGAGAGTTCCAAAAGCAGGTTCCTTCCCTAATCCAGTGCCAAGAGGCTGTGCAGCTCCCCAAGTGTTTGTAGGTAGACGGAGGAACTGCGTCTCCTTTCCTTTGGCACAATTGCTAGGGACAATTTGCTGAACAGGGGTGGAGCTGAGGTCCAAACTTTCCAGTGATGTCAGACTTGAAATTGCTTGGGGCACTTGAGTGGATGCACTGGGAGGTGAGGTGAGAAACTCTGAAGAAGTCATTGGCCCAAACCGATGTAAATGGCAGCACAGCTGATTCACTGCATGTCAAGTGCTATGGATAAGTCTTCAGCAGCAGTTTCTCCAGTGCTTTTGAATTAATTACCCTGCTAGTGCAGAGTGCTGCTATTTGGCATCCAAGGCACATTTCCTCTGTGAGACTGCTTAAATCAGTCAGGTTCAAATCACTGAGGTGAGGCTCCTCTAACTCAAAATAATTCAGCTTGTGGATGATGGCTGATACACCTGAGAATAAATCTTCCCCTTAAGTATAATTTCTTGAACCATTTTAGGGAACATGGGTTTTATACATGCCATGTGCTGTGGTTTAGGATGCCAGGGAGGATAAGAGGAATGAAAGCAGGTGGTGCAGTGTCTACTGCAGCAGCAGAGCAAGAGCCTGGAGCGCAGGATGTGGCCAGTTCGGTCCTGTGTTCCCGATGCAGGCTTTGGCTGTGCTGGGTGGACCCTGCTGCTCTCTGGTGGCAGGAGCCAGCCGAGCACGATCCGTCCCACAGAGTCCCCATCACCCTCTTCCCGGGGTGCTCTGGACCTCTTTAGACATTGGAGGAGAAAAGACACGGAGCTGTGAGCAGAGGCTGTGCCCCACTGGCCCCCAGGCAGTGGGGATGCTCCCTCTGCCTCCCGTGTCCTGAATCTTAAAACACTTCGAGGTTGGCTCTGGGTGAGGACCAGCACTCAAGCAGATTGCAGGTGAGGGACCCAATAAAGGGCTGCTGAGTCTGGTGATTTTTGTCATTAACAGCACATCGTGCAGTGGCTTTTATCAGCACCTCCTCAGGGGTCATGGAGTTGGTCCTGGGGAGTCAGAGCATTACAGTTCCTTCCATCTTTTTTTAAAGCAAGTTGCTTCCTCCCAAGTTCGGAAAGAAAAATATGTTTGAGAGCACCCTAGAGAGCCTGGAGAGCACAGTGCAGCAGAAAGGAGCCCCATCCCTCCAGGGGCTTCTTTGTAAATGTCTTTGTGATTTTTACACATGATATTTCCTAGGCCACCCTCCTGATTTCTAAATCCTGAGGGAGATTTGCAGGAGACCAGCTCTGACAGCTGCCGAGTGCCAGCCTGTCTCCCAGAAGCCATGCACAAGGGCATGGCATTGGGACACTACAGGGAAAAGTATCCCAGGATTTGGACTCAGGCCAGAGCACCTGATTCCAGACAAATTGTGGCTGGAAACCTGGGGCTCCAGGCCCTTCGTGAGTATGTCCTCCCGGGGGTAGGATCCACCTCTGTCTTGTCCTTTCCAACAGTCACCTGCAGGTCTGAACATCTCTACTCAATGGAGCAGCTTTTAATGTAATTCAAAAGCTGATTCTTGTTGAGATCAAAAAAACCCCAAAACCCAAAAACCATGGGCTGAGAGATGCTGTTTGATTATGCCTGCATTTTTTCTCTCCCCTCCTCCAAAGATCATCACGAGCTCCGGTTCATTAGCGTTTGTGAAAAGCGCAGGGTGGAAAGTGCTAGATAAGGGGAAAGGCTCATCACATGTTATTGTCGCCACAATGCTGGAAATACCACTAACAAATCAATCAGCCCTTTGATGCGCACGGCCCTGCTCCACATCTCCTCTGGAGCACCAGTCACACCATATGGGTCCCACTTTATCATCTGAGGAGCAGAGCGAGCAGATGAAAAGGGTGCAGGCTGTCCCGCTTTGATGCTCTTGAGAGCGAGCTCTTTCAAGGGCTCCTTTATTGATGGACCTTCGGCTAATTTTAGCACCAGTGAACAGCAGCTCAGCACAGCTCAGAGGAGCAGAGGCCATGGTTTGCAAAAGCAGGTGTCTGTGTTAGATGCTCCAGCCGACGTGTTGGGCAGCCACAGAAATGGCTCTGCAGGATCCCACAGGCAGCCCTGAGCTACTCATGCCCATACTCCAAACCAGCCGGGACACACCAGCTTCAGTCCCAGAGCTGGCTGACAGCAAGACCCTGTGGGGACAGCTTAACTCGGGCTCTGTGACACAGCAAGGCAGCTTTTGGCCTCCGTATTTTCGGGCAGTAGACTGAGTTGCTGCTTGCTGCTCCGAGGTGGGGAGCCAGTCATCTGAGTGCCCAGGGAAGGAGCTGGGTGCTTTGAAGAGCAGAGCACTTTGCTGACACCCGTGATGCAAATCCGGGAGCAGCACCAGCTAGGGGCGAGCCTCCCTTCTGCTCTGCATGGACCACAGCTCCAGCATGAGCAGCACAGGCTCCTTCTGCATCATCTGCCACCACTGGGGAGCGGGTGCTGGTGGAGACTGGTCCCTGCTACAGAGCAGGAGGGCACCACCGACAGCCCGCGGCCAGATTCTGCTGCAGAGTGGCTTCATGACGGGAACACAGCTCTGTGAGTCGCCGCTCTGCGCCTGGTCTTGCTGGCACCAAGACTGAGTGAAAATACAGACATTTTTATTCTCACTGCGTGAGGCTCTGGGTCCGGAGCGCTCGTACCCACGCTCCTTCCTGCAGCCACCTCCTTTGGGTCTGGGAGGCCACGTCTGGCACAAGAAATGTCACACATAAAAGTTTCTGTCATGTTTTATTTGGAGCACCAGAGGACACGAGCTGTGTTCTCTGGGATCGCACTGCAGATTGACCGCACGATGGACAGCCCAATCGCTGCAGTAGAGCATGAGAGGGTGCTGCCCACTGAGACTTCGTTGCGCTGGCAGAACTGTGCCAATGTTTTCTGCCTGAAACCAGAGTGTAGACACCACCTGTAGCATTTTGTCCCTCCAACTGAATGGTTGTGGACATGAGAATAATGCTGGGGAAAGAGCTTGCTAACAAGTGCAGCAATGCCTGGGAAAGCGTTGCTAAAAATGCAACTGCTCGCAGCTCCTTATGTGGATATTAAGATAATAAACGCAGGAGCTGAGTTGGCCTATTAGGTATATTTAATCTATTTTGTTGTATTTCCCGAAACATGATGCTTTCTTTAAAAGCAGTCTCGTAGGACTGGGAAGAGGTCTGAGTCAGCCCCAGCCTCTGGCAGCAGAGCTCTGGCTTCTCCTCCTGGTGGGAATGCAATTCTGCCTGGAGTTCCGTCATCTGTTTCGCTTCAGTGGCAGGTCTCTGTTTCAGGAGAATATTTAACAAGTTGTTAAATCTCTAGTGGGGAAAAAATGCCATTGTGGTTAAAGCCACAATATTTTTTTACCGAGGTGCCTTTTTGCAAAAATGTTTACAAGTGGTTTAAGCTTTTACAGTAGAATCTGAAAATAATTTTAAATCATCAAGAGTACTTGTTTGCTAGTTCAGGATTAATAAGATGATTGATTGCCTCTTCTTACTCACCATCCTTTTCTTAACGTAACCAGTTATCAACTGAAGGCTATAAGCTTTTTTTTTTTTTTTTAACATTTGAGACTCAATGCTGGAGGAATCCAGAGGCACGATGACAGGAAGGGACCCCTGCAATTTTTCCTTAGAGTAACCTGGACCCACAGAGCAGTAAAGGCTGATAGATAATACTTCAAAGGCTACAGTCAGCGAAACCAATAACCAAAAGGTGATCACGTTGGCCTGTTGAATCTGGTCAACAGGTACAAATGGCCTCACTGTGACTGAGCAGAAAGCTCGGGAGAGTGTTTTAGGTATGGGACTGAGCTTTTGGTTGTTATGCTGGTTTTGTGTTTGGATGTGAATGGATGTGAGTGGTGTGTGTGTGCATACAGATGTACGTACACATGAATTGCATGTCATAAATGTGTTTATATCACAGAGGCCTCACCTTCATCAGAAGTTTATCCATGACTCGTTACTTTCATGCTAGTCTTGTGGCACATTTTTGACCTTCAGAACTCTTGG